TCCTGTCACATCATGTGATGTGGAACGAAGTTTTTCCAAATACAAAACTATCCTTAGTGATAATCGGCGATCTTTCAAATTTGAAAATTTGAAAATGCATGTAGTTATAAATTGCAATTGTAACAGTGAAAATTGAGACGTGAATAGCTTGTGTTCTTTTAAATGGTGTTTTTAGATAACAGAGTTAAGTTAGTGTTCATACCATGTGCACCAGTGTTTGTCTAAAATATGAACGCAAATATCAGTATTAAAAAGAAAACAATGAATGGTTTAATCCAGTACGAAATGTCGAAATTCCATCAGTTTTCTTTCCTTCAGAGACATAATAGGGCTAATTTGGTAAGTAGGACCTACTATCATATATTCATCATCTTTATTCTTAAACTCTAGTAAAAGTTGTAATTAAAATTGTGAAATTTTATGTCCCATTTAATATTTAAGGTCATATTTTACATTTTTTAGGTCATATTTGACATAATTTTGGGTCATAAGTGCATGCATATATTTATAGTTTTTAGGTCATAAAAATCCGGGCCCTAGTCATAATAGTGAATACTTCTACCAACCATAATGTGCAGATGGAAGGAAACCGGTCACAGAGTAACTTCATATCACAAAGATATCTGAACTTATCCTGCAAGTCCTTTCTTCATGAGATATAAATCACTGATATAACAAGGTGACAGATAATAAACCTACATACATTGGAAGTTAAGCTGATTAACTGAAAACACTGGTTACATGTACTTCATGTATGGAATGATGTACGACATTTAACAACATAAAGTGTCCATGGTTTTTAGCAAACAGCTGACCAGTATGCCTTATGGAACAACTGTCAAATAAATATGCATCTAATTTGGTTTAAAACAGCCAAAAACTGGGCACATCTACTTCCAACAATTCACAAATATAACAAAAGCAACTCATCACAAGCACCTTGGAGGTAAACCCGCATCTTGGCACTGATAAAAAATGTAAGAGAAGAAAGTTTCCTACCTTGTCCGCCATCCTGTGACCCTCCAGAATCTTGTGACAGCCCTGGTATTGAGCAAATATTGGAGTTGCTCCTGAAAAGTATTACACACATAAGCATATACCGTGAGTCACCTTAATTAAGGTATCTTCTATAACTTGAGTATACTCATATTTTCATTATTATTTTATGGACTGTGTGTTTTATGATTAAGGACTTCTTAGATATAATTCCATATCATCTTATCTCATCTTATCACAGAGAATGATGTACAACAATGGTCTACATATGACACACAGCTATCTGTCATACTGGCATATTACAATGGGCTAGAAGAGTTTAACTTTTATCCTCGGACGGTATAAAACAAACCACAAAAACATATGACAGCCTCAGGAGTTACTACAGATCTTCCAAATATTAATCAGGTACTGGTATACTAACTTAAACATGAACTTGCAATAACTGCATAACTTCATTTCATATTTTTATCATTTCACATTACTAGAACTATGGCAGAAGAGGCTATTACTATGAATAGAGTCTTGCAAATAAAGTTCTGAAATTGTGAAGTGTTGTTTTTCGCAAATTTGTTGGTCATCACTCACTACAGATGGCAGACCACTTCACCCATCATTGAACAATCTACACCACTGTCTTACAGTTCCTTTGCTCATTACATTTTGGCCGAAAACCACACATAATTCAAGATGGATTTCTGCAGCACTCAGGTTTTAAGCAAGAACAAAGCGGATAACAGGGCGAATATATAGTAGTATTATAATGCTGACTGTAATTCATAGTTAAATCATAACATAACTTTTTAGCTTATTTTTTATTTTAGGAAACTAGTTTATTTAACGTGACAGATGTAATATCGATTTTCAGTTTAGTTTGAATCTTGGAACACAGAATGGAATTCTGTTCTATAGTACAACGCACAGCATTCATTATTTTAAATTTGATATCCTTCTGATAAAAATGATGTACTGAATACATTACATACTAATGAACTCTGGATATAGTAGAAGGGAAGATACATATTCATTCTGACACAATGTGCCAAAACAACTACCTACAAAGGGATGCCTGCACAAACAACTCTAAAAGCTCACAATTCTCTGTTCCATGTAGCTTTAGTTGTTACAATTCTGTACTGGACCATCAAGGTGGAGAAAAAATATGCCATTTTCAACACACCTTGCACTGAGTCTTGATGAGAATGACTGCTGCTCTCTCCTCCTAACGGTGCCAAAGGATCATCTTGATTAGGCAATTTGTCTACTTCTTCTATGTCTAATTTATATTCAACTGGTTCTACTTTTGGTTTTGATATTTCCACAGTTTCTACAATATTTGTGTCCTCATTCAGTACACATGGGCTTGATACTGATGCTGATGAAGGTGGTGGAGCAGATGCTTCTGAACGCAATCGTTTGTAGGGACGGACTGGGGGATCTTCAGACTGCACCACAAGTGGTTCAAGTAGGGATGGCTGTTGTGTTCTTGATGCAGGTGTACTTTCTGGTGTGTCAGGTACTGATATTGGCACCTTCTGAACAAGAGTGAAACATGACACTTAAATTTTTAGTGGTGCAATTTAACATATTTACTGTCACAGTCAGGTTTCTTTCAGAGGAGGAAAATGTGGTTGTTATATGTAGAAGCATACACCTCAGGTATGATCTGAATAATAGTGGGATTCTATTTTAGGGGCAAAGAATCCTGTCTTACAAACTTACACTCTTTAAATCTGAAAAACATTCACAGCAAACATCAGATAATACATACATATTCTGAACTGACATGAAGAACAAATATGAGCAAGCTAAAAAGAATACCTTTAGCGCTGATATTCAAACACTCTACCTACATAGCTAGTATACTTGGGATAGGTAGTGAAGGGAATAATATAAGAGTACAAAAACAGAAAATCTGGAAAGGAAAAATTACAACTGAGGACAGGAACAAATATATATTAAGCGCCTGTGAAATAAATGAACTACATTTCTGTCCTCGTATCTGTTCTCAAAAAACATAAGAGTCATAATAAAATACTGAAGTACAATCCCTATACTGCAGTGTGGTTCACTGTATTTTATAAAATGTAATTTGTCTCAGAGCACAAAGTATTAAAAATTGCATGTATCAATAAAATGTTCCTCTCATCAAGTTTCATAAATTGTTAACATTTCCTTCTTTCAGTAAATATACAGGCCTAATGACACACACACTTTTTCTGACCCCCAGGCAGCATTATTCATTCACCACAGCCATCACGCTTAAAAAATCAGAACAAAAAAAAAATGTCCCCAATATATTGTGCATACAAAATATTGTAGCTTTAACCCACTCCAAAATATGTGGTGCAATCCAAAAGTTCACAAAATTTGAATTTTGCACGCGAATGGTTATGAGTACATCGAAATACCGCTAGGTGTTTCCCCACACACCCTTCTTGAATTGACTTCATAAACAACATTCCTATATTTATATAAAACAGATATGTAAGAAAAGTAAAAGTAGTAATTGTACTGATTATTAACAGTATACTCTGAGCGCTGACTCACCCGCCACGTCAGACTGCTATAGACTGCAGACCCAGACAGACTGCTGGGGAGGGAGGGGGTGTCCTCCATTGCGCAACACGTCACAATATATACATTCAACTCTCGATTATCTGGGGGCGGATAAACCGGTTTCCGGCTTAACCGGGGCTTTTTTAGGCTTATATGTTAATATTCATCCACTTTTGTTTCACATGGTGAGTTGTAACACTATTTTCGCACTAGTGTGAACCGAGCTCTGCACTTTTTGGTCCCGTTATGCTAACACAATGTTTTAGGGTAGGGGTGAAAGAATGCAAAGATTTGTGGAACGTTTCAAGAACAGATACACCGCCCCAGTTAGCCTCTTTGTATCGATCTTCAAGTGCGTTAGCAAAATATCAGGGTGTAAAAGGAAGCGTGTATTCAACAGAAACTTGAAATTATCAATCAGTTGGGAAAAATAGGTGTAGTTAAACACTTAGCAATGCAATACAGTATTGGAGAACAAACTGTTCATGATTTGAAAAAACAAAAGACTCAATTAATTTCCTTTGCTTCATCTTCTAATTCAAGTGGAATGAAGAAGAGAAAAACCATGAAAAAATCAACATATGATGATCTCGACAAAGCAATGCTGATCTGGTTTAATCAACTAAGGGCACAGGGAACAACAATAACAGGAGCAGTTTGTGCTAAACAAGCGAAATTTTTTTCTGAAGCACTTGAACTACAAGGAAGTTTTGACGCTTCTTCTCGTTGGCTAACACGTTTCAAGCAGCGTCATGGAATACAAGAAATTAGTATTCAAGGTGAGAAATTGTCAGGGGACTTGTCATCATCAGTTCAATTTTGCACCAATTGTGATAGTTTTGTGAAAAGTGAAAATCTGCTGCCAGAACAAATCTATAATGCCAATGAAATGGGTCTTTATTGGACATGCTTGCCAACCAGAACTTTGGCATTTCAAAATGAAAGACAGGCTCCAGGTCACAAATCAAGTAAGGAGAGATTGACAGCCTTGTGCTGTTCAAATGCAGCAGGAACACACAAACTAATACCAGTAGTTATCGGCAAAGCGAAAAGACCACGCTCTTTTAAAGGAACAGTAGCTTCAAGTCTGCCTATCCATTATTTTAATCAGAAAGGAGCCTGGATGAAAAGAGCAATATTTAAAGAATGGTCTGATTTTAAATTTGTGCCTCAAGTTCGTGACCATCTAAAATCCCAAGGCCTACCTGAGAAAGCTGTGCTCCTCATTTACAGTGCACCCTCACATCCTAACAAGTCTCCTGAGGTCAGATGATGGAATATTTTTGTGAAATATTTTCCTCCTAATGTTACCGCACTTATCCAACCAGTGGATCAAGGAGTTATCTCAAGTATGAAGAGATCATATTTGCTCCAAAAGTACATCGATGAAGGCAATGATCTGACATGTTTCTGGAAGTCTTTTTCAATGCTAGATGCCATATATGAGAGTTCAACAGCGTGGGATACAGTAAAGCCATCTGTATTGAAATATTCATGGAAGAAACTGATGCCTTTCATCACTAATGAAGATGGCAAAATCCATGGATTTACTGGATTCAGTGAAAATGAGACAGCCGCAGAATTGACAAAATTGGCTAACCAAGTTTATGGTGGTGAAGAAGTCAACAAGGAAAATATAAGAGAGTGGGTTGACTGTGACTCGTGTGAGCCGGGCTTCAAAATGTTAAGCAGTGACAAAACCGTTAAGTTCAGTGGGGGTGCAGCCAGAAGAGCGGGAAGAAAGTGAGAATGAGGAAGAGGTGGACAGTGCTGCTAGTAAGAAAATATCGCATGGTGCTGCTCTTAGTCATTTGGAATCCTTACTAGACTATTTTGAGAGTGAAGAGAACAGTTTATTAAGTGACAAGCTAATATTACATAGGCTTCGTATGGATATCTGTAATAAGGAAAATGCCACGAAGCAAACGACAATATTAAATTTTTTAAGTGTTAAGTGTGAATATTCATAAAAAGTGTTGGATGTTGTTGAATACTGTGATTCAAATAACTAATTCATATAAAATCAATACAAAGTCCGTCGAGCGTAACAATATTTTTTAGGTCACTTCTTTCTCACTCTTGCCTTACATGTTTCGGTTTTAGTAAAACCATCTTCAGAGGCACATGGTACTAACAAGAAAACACTGGCGTTGTTTAACTGTACACAGTATATATGCTGTGTGGGCACTGCTACAAATGTCGATGTGTAAAAGCACAACACTAGCTTGGAGTACTGAATGCACGTTCAACCTTCGCATTCCATCCGAAGTTGCCCTCGTGTTAAAACATCACTATTAAAATATTTAAAAGTTTAAGACTTTTGAAGTAAAATATAAAAATGTTAGGCTGCTTCTTAATTTATCCCGATGTTGGGAGATGTCTTGAGGTTGTATTGGCTTGTAGTTGGATTATTGCTGTGCGTTGTGTGTTGTGTACACAACAGCCTAACATTTTTATATTTTACTTCAAAAGTCTTAAACTTTTAAATATTTTTTAAATATTTTAATAGTGATGTTTTAACGCGAGGGCAACTTCGGATGGAATGCGAAGGTTGAACGTGCATTCTGTACGTGCATTCAGTACTCCAAGCTAGTGTTGTGCTTTTACACATCGACATTTGTAGCAGTGCCCACACAGCATATATACTGTGTACAGTTAAACAACGCCAGTGTTTTCTTGTTAGTACCATGTGCCTCTGAAGATGGTTTTACTAAAACCGAAACATGTAAGGCAAGAGTGAGAAAGAAGTGACCTAAAAAACATTGTTACACTCGACGGACTTTGTATTGATTTTATGTATAATAGTGTAACGGACCAAAATGAAACAATTAAAAAAAAAACTAATTCATACTTCATTGTAATGTAAAAAAAGTATTAAATAGGCCATGAGATGACATAAAAATGAGGTTGAATAAATTTAAATACAGGTAGGCCTATAGTATTATGAAGGTACAGTATTACAGTACTACTTTTAATGAAATTTGTCTTAACCGGGTTTTCGATTAATCGTGATTTCCATCCCCACCATTATCCCATATAATCGAGAGTTGAGTGTAACAAGAGTCGCTGGGTAACCGCTATTATAGAATACGATATTTATAAGAATATGCCACAGAAGGCCAGATGGACGATGCCTAGGTCTTCTTCGTATTTACAATATTTTTTCTACAATAAAAAAATCAGTGTGGAAAGCGGTGTCGAGTTGAGTGGCTGGGTTTATTGTTGGTGAATGTACTTCCATTGTTGTGTTTCTGTGAGTTTGCGGTTTTGCGATGGCTGACCTGAGAGAGCAGCATGACTGCAACAATTTTTTTTTTTTTTTAACTTGGGAAAACCGCTGCAGAAACGCACCAAATGTTGAAGCAAGCTTTTGGTGACAACAGTTTAGGCCAGATAGAAACTTAAGACTGGTATAAGCATTTCAAAAATGGCTGAACATCGACTATGATGACGATCGTTCGGGATGGCCGTAAACTGGCATCACACAAGCATCCAAGCATCGCTTGGAAGTCTGCAGGGAACTTCAACAGCTTCAAGAGGATCCAAACTTTCTTTTGAAAGTTTTCAATGGTGATGAAAGTTGGGTTTATGGCTGTGACCCTGAAAGTAAGCACCAATCATCGCAATGGAAGAGCCCTTCTTTGCCTTGGCCACAAAAGGCTCAACAAGTCAAGAGTAACATTAAGTCCATGTTGATCTGTTTTTTTATAATAACAGGATTGTTCATAAGGAGATCGTCCCTCCTAGTCAGACAGTAAATAAAGAGTGCTCTCGCGATGTTCTAAGGTGTTTGAGGGAGGACATAAGGAGAAAACGTCCAGAGAAGTGGCACACGGACTGGGTACTCCACCATGACAACGCACGACCGCATATGGCTTACATTGTGCAGGAATTTAAACTAAAAACTATGTGGCAGTTGTAAGGTTTGAGGTTTTCACAGCGGTGACTATGAAGAAAGCAGTCTTCTGGGATTTGG